TATAAGTAATATTTAAATATATTTATTATATATTTTTAAAATATTTTTCTAAAAATATATACTATTTTTACCAGTGAGGAAAGATTAATACTAAGCTTAAGATCTATCTTAGAACTAATACACTTCTAACCAAAACACATATGTACTTTTTTATAGTTTTAGTTTTACTAAAGGTTCTACTAGGTGGTCAAGTGAAGTGTAATACATAGCTTCTCTACGTTGCAATGCCAAAGATGCCGAGATCTCCAATGCACATTCCGCATGTCTTATGTCCAACGTAGTGTAGAATGTAAAAAAATGGCGTAAAGTGTGCATAGATCTTCTTTTCGTTATTGTTTTGTCACAAGAAATAAGGCGCTTCCAAGCTTCTTGTGCCAATGAAGGAGGTAATTGATAAATCAGAACTGCAGAACAAGCCTTTAATAATGATGAATATGACTATCATTACGGGATCGTTAACCGCAGGTATGTTAATTTTCTCGTTTTATTTTTTAGCAATGGAATGGCATTTCATTATATTTTCGACTGATGGACTTTATTGTACAGTACCAGCAAGGATGAATATTAAATAAACCTCTCAAAAACCGTGATCAAAGAAAATATCGATATTCTTCGAAACAGTGTACAACGAATAATTGGAATCATTGTGGTTTGTTAAAAGACAGGATAACAGCAAGTAACAGTAAAAGGTGTCGTGTACAAAAAAAATAAAACAATAGATTATATTTCTGCTTAAGCTTATGTATTTCACTATATATATATTTTTTTATCCTTTATTTTTATTGTAATAAAGATTTTTGGTTAGAGAAATGTACAAAGTATCATGCGTTTAGTGTTTTAAGCCGGCTGAAGCAGCCACGGCTAAGCCGGCTTAGCCAGTTAAGCCAGCCAGTATAAAGCTGTCGGCTGGCTAATGCGGCTAAGGGTCACCAATCACATAATAAGTATTTTTTTATATAACCCAAAATTAAGAGTCGAATACATCGGAACTAGGCCGGCATTAAGCTATAATGCTAGCCAACTATTTATAACAAAATTAACGTTTGGACAATTTGACTTAGTACATAAGCTACTGTTTATTACAGTATTAAATTTCGATTATTTCAACCTGGAATTTTGGTCAGTTTGGTTGCGTGGCTAACTTATTTTCTAGCCAGCCACTATTAGCCGCTTAGCCGATGTTTTTGGTCGGCTGGCTTAGCCAGCCGACTAAAATCATGCGGCTTAAATCACTACATGTGTTATTTTTTGTGTAATGTATAACAATAATTTTCCGAAATAATTTTCTTGGCAAAAGTGATCGGCAAGTCTGATCGTGACGGTTTTTTTCGTAAACATGTCGACTTCTGCTCACGTAACCAACGGCAAGTTTACTTTCTTAGCACGCTCTATTTGAAACTCTGTGATTTCTAAAGTTCCTTTTTATACTGTTAGGAATCTCGTTAGATGATCCTGATTTCTTTACTTTGGACCGCGAGTGGACACTGTTAAATTTTCTGTTATATCGACAAAAATGTTCTGATTTTTGTGCCGACAAGCATGAAGAACACAGCCGGTATACTCGTAGCCTTGCTAGTATACTCAGTTACGAACAACAATCCCCGGAAATGATTAAACTGGCTAGCGACGCTCTTAATTTGTTACAAGTTAAGTATTACTTTTTGGTGGTTTGTTGGCAGTGGACGGGTCTCAAAGGGCAATAGCCTTTTTGGATGGGGTTGCGATCTGCGTTCAACCACCCAACATCCTTGGTTGCGATCGGGGATGGTTAGTTGCGACTCGGGTGGTTCCGTCCTGCTGAAATGTGTTCAACCACCCAACATTCCTGGTTGCGATCGAGAATGCTTGAGTTGCGATTCGGGTGGTTGTTCCTGACGAAATGTGTTCAACCACCCAACATTCCTGGTTGCGATCGGGAATGCTTGAGTTGCGATTCGGGTGGATGTTTACACATTTTTTCATTAATATCTATCACTTCTGATTGTAATTGGGAGCTTGTGAGTTGAGACTCAGGTGATTCCGTTTCTTACAAATTTGATTTTTTTTATTAATAGAAGGAAAAAAAGTCAAAATCGATTGATAACTTCTGGAAGACGGCTACGTTAGCGCAAGAGAAGAAAGTGGCAAATGAAATCGAACGTTCAGTTTTGTTGGTATGAGATATTCCGGCAATATAACAAGGTACACAGCAAACGTGAACACTAACTTGTCTATTATAACAGGATGAACTCGCTACATCCGCTGTACACTCAACCGTTCAACGCGATAGGCAAGAAAGTTTGGTTCGAGAAAAAGTTACAAGACGATTAGAGAGTATAGATGATGATCGCACGTACAAGCGTCACAGGTCACAGTCTCCGAACATTGAGGTAGTTGAATGGCCAGCTTTTAATATGAAATTTACTTCTTACCTTTCCCATCTTCGACGTGTTTATCAGAATAATCAAAAAGAAAATAGCACGGAAGCGATTAATAATGAACAAAATTTAGGTGAAAAGCGAGTTGGGGTAGGTTTCTATAAATGATCAATTGTATGAAACATCTTTCTAACTCGTTTGTTATGACGTTCTTTAGGAAGAACTCGTGAAACAGTATGATTTGAGAGAACGACAAGAAATCAACTATGCCGAAATTTCAAGCTCAGACATTGATCCACATCATGTAATTATTCTTGTTACTTTTTTTGCGCAATAAAAAATATAAAATTCTCATTCATTTTTTATTTTGTTGTTTTGAAATCTATCAAGCTTCAAGCATTTGACCCTCTGCGAAACAATCCGGATTCTTCTGCTATTTCGTTAAACAGGCCAATCATAACGGAAGTAACATATAACCTGATTTCTACACATATAATTTGCGCATTTAGCTCAACATTACATTTAGTCAGAGAAACCGTCGATGAAAGTTTATTTGAGAAGATCGAAAAGCTTCTTAGAATGAGAAATAAATTGATATTAGACAAATCGATAACCTCGAAATTGGAGGCAATTTTTCAAACGGACTATGCGGAAATTAGTTCGAAGATAATAACCGAAACTGAGGTTGAAAAAAATATGAAAGCGAGCGAGGAATCACGGTTTCTCTTTTTTATCCGGCACACCCTCCTAGATTTCATCGCGATGTATGAATATATGTCGCCTAAAGTGTTAGCTCGAGATATGTCAGAAAGGTCGTATATTGTAGAATGCCTTTCACCCATACTTCGATCTTTTAGGAATGCATTTCCTGAAATTAGATATGAGTGGATTGAAAAGGATGTCAAATCCATAAGGGATGCTCGCAATATGTTCGCAATTAACATAAGGACTCGGAAAACTGATTTGTTAGTTCTGAGACTATCAGACGCAACTGAAATTTTACACGTTGAAGTATCTGGACCACCTTACAAACCGGAAAAGAAACATACAGTTGGAGACGCAAAAAAATTACTCATGATGGCTGTTTGTAATTTATGCAGAATATTGGCGAACAATTTCGATTGTCCTATTGAAATTGCCAAGAAAGTCAGATCGTATTGTATACAGGCAATTGGGGATAAATTGACATTATTTGCCGTATCACTTGTTGACAAGAAAAAATATTTGGCCATCGAATTGGCTTCATGCATAATTCCCTTTTCGCTTAAAACCATTGGATGCTACACAAGAATCTTTAATTTTTTCAAGATCATAAGGAACGAGTTTATAGAACAAGAAAAGCTTCTAGAAAAAATTTGTTCTTTTGTGCCCTCGATCGATGATAATACCAGTGACCTACGAGAGTGGGTGCATTTACCGGATGATGATCTAATACCCGTAAATGAAGAAGAAATAGACGAACTTGTTTTAAATGATACTTAATAAAATTAATATACTAGAATGTGATGTTTTTTATTATGCAATTATTATTATAATAGGTTTCATTGGTTATAGAATTAATTTGTTGTAGTAATGAAATAATAATAATATTTTTGATTTTATTATGAGATGGGAATAATTAGTAATGGTGTTACATATATTTCTTTACATGTAAAAATCATATTTTCTGTGTATTGCGAGTCATTAATTTGATCCCGGCACATGAAACCATATTTTTAGTCTCATAATTACATGTTGCAATTCTGATCATTATCTATGATAATAAATGACATTTGAATAATTCGCATTTGTATAAAAGTTATCGTTAAACATGCAATCCGAAATTGATTTATTGAAACAAGAGAACACTAGACTTATGGCTAGAATTGCAGAATTAGAACAGATCGCGAAGGAAAAAAATGAGCTTGAGGTTAGAATTGTGGAATTAGAATAGACTACAAAGTTAAGTCAAACAGAAAATGCCGAGCTCAAGAATGAAATTGCAAAATTAAAACGAGCTGTTAAGAATATTGAAAAGCAAAATCGAACAGTTACTAATGATTTAGCCCTACAAGCCCTGCTTTCGCAGATATCTCCGGAATATTCCACTCCATTACCTAACAAGAGTTGCTCAAATGGTGAAAATGCGCAGATTAAAGATTCTTCAGAACAGGTAATTAACACAATTTCCAATACATCTAACCTTAATGAAACTTCTTTCGAAAAATCCAAATCATTAGAAGATAAAGAAATTGATGTCTTTTTAGATTCGGAAAATAAAAAAAGGGTTAGTAATGAGATAAGGCAGAGAAATATGAAAAAAAAGCTATTACATAGTAATGAAGCTTCCACTTCTCAGGATCAGGACCTATCTTTAGTTAATCAGGATGCTTCAACGGGATCTAAAAAGACAATAACATCCTTATCATTATGTGATACAAAAACTGTCACGATCTTAACAATTCTGATACCACCTCCGAAATACTTGAATCAGACAATCAAATCGTAGAAGGTTTAATACAAGAGATGACCTATGATCAAGCAGAAAATATTGTTTCTTCCGAAATCAATCATTTATATTCAAATAATGATGAGGATATGGCTCCGGGTTCTGTGAAAAGTTTATCTGACTTATTTGATAAAGCAATTAAATCGGGTCAAAACCAAATTTTAAATTGGTATTATTATTATCTAGAATTTGAAAATAAGGTTAAAAGCCTTACAGCAGATGGCCAGATTAAAGATAAAACAGCAAGATCAAAAATATATAGGGAAATGAAACCTTTTCTACCTAATATTACAGATGCAAATTTGCATAAGAAAACCGAAAGAGCTCGAAAAATTCTTAAGCTATTTGGTAAAGGAGGAGTAGGTATAGATAAAATCAATTACATTACATATAGTGCAAGTACTATTTCGGGATTGAAAGATATTCAAATTCAACATATCATAAATCAGGTGGCATCAAAAACCGTGACAAAATGTCACGATCAGAATAATTCTGAAGTAAGCGAATATCCCCAAAAGCTGAAATATCGGCAAAGTCTTCATCAGAAGCTCAAGTAAGTGCATTATCTCCATCTAATCTTACCTATGATCGTGATTATTTTTGTAATAAAATATTATGTCGATATCCTGATATACATAGAGAATTTAAACCGGGGTTAAATCGCCACCCAAAAAAGTTACAGATCATGTGATTTACATCATTCTTATAACCTATGTAATTATACCACAAAAAATTTTCCGGTCACATGACTTTATCGTGGCGCAAACCAATTGAATTTCAGG